CTAGAGATGACTAAAGGTTGTCTGCTTTGGTCTGGATGGAGGGCTGAAACAACAAGTAGAACATACACGTGCAGTCTTGGGCAGGTCTCCCCTTGCTGAACTGGCCTGAACTGTCGTTCTGTCCCAGGATGATTTCTTGAAACTAGATTTGATATTAGCAAATGTATGCCCACCATCAGATTTTCAAACAGATAAATCCATCAACTTGTTTCTTTGCTTCTATTTCTGCTACTGTCAAATAATATAATATCTTCTATATGAATATTGTACTGTAGCATTTGCTGCCAAAAACATGGATTGTATAGCCCACTCTGTCAAACTTGACCTTGTCAGGTCTCCATTCTGCAGTCCATTTACTGAGTAATCTAGTTAGAGCGGCATGTTCTGAAACCTGTTAACCAGCTGCCAAACATCTAAGTGACATCCCCCCAACCCAACCAGCTACGTGTCTGTTCTCTATCAATCTCTGCTCCACCAATTAGGGAAGTGTATGTCGGTGAAGGATAAGTGCTCTCTTACCTCTGAAGGTTAAAACAAATGGGACGCTATTGGTTAATCTGTTGTCTTTGTCTTTGCACGTTAGTGCAAGAGTGCATCCACACGTATCTGCACGTGTCACGCCTCGTATACACCACATTGTAAAATGTTGGAAATGAGGATGTGGTGGTGCTGATCAAGGAAGTCAAGGAATTTAAATGTTGTTCAATATGTAAAATGTCCTGTTCAAACGTACACAGGCTCAACCTTCTACTGAACTATATGTGTAATACTTTCCCAATCAGTAGAATGCAGATGCCTACTAAACATTTGCAAATGCGTAGCTGACCAATTTGGACATGTTCTCCACATTATAGGACTAGAGAACAGGGGTGCCAACCTCATGTCAAAAGGCAGACCACTACCAGATGAGTGGAGGCAACACCCTGGGGTGATGAAGCAGATTTGGACCCTTCACGCTTGGCCCCTGAAAGGGACAGGCTGAGGATGGCTGGTTTGTTTTCACAGGTTGTGCAGACCATCCAGGCGGCAAGAATAGGATTCAACATTGTGTTTTACAAGGCAAAAGTGGTCAGAGTACCAAGAAAAGGTTAGATCCCCTGTTCCTTTCAGTTGGGTCTATTCTTTCCTTTTTGTTTGGTGGATAGCGGGCTGTCTCATGCAGTGTCGACCGCTGTGTTCGGTGGGGTAAGTGTCGAGGATATATGTACGGTGGGATTGTGGTCGACTCCTTGTTCTTGTGTGCCGGCCTAGGTTACAAGGAAGTAGTTTAGGCTGTAGCTACTCACCTCTCGCCGGTCGGGATCAGAGTGGTTGGGTTGGTGTACAGCTATGCTTATGCAAATGTTCAGCCGGCGAATGCATGCCCATGATTGGAGAAGAGTATTAACCATTGAGTCCTGTAGAGGGCTCTGCCTGTGCTTATAAAATGAGGTTTACAATATGGCAACCTTTTTTTTTTTCTGCGATTATACTATCATTGCTCTTTGTGAAGATGTCTATCTTGACAAAATGCAATTCAACTTGGAAATGTAACTGTTAAACATCTAAGCTAGTTCCTTTATAAATATATTTAATTGGTTCTTCAGCTATCCAGGTGTGTGTTTGGTTTGATCACTTAATTTCCTCTTGGGCCTTTATTTTGTGCGATTAATTTGCACATTAATATGTTTGAACAGTTGTTTTTGTCATGAATACTTTCACACAGAACGTGAATATTAAGCATCAAAAAAGTGACGCTCCTTTTTTTCAGAACTTTCTTTTCAGAATTTGTTGCATAAATATGTCTATAATGTTAAGTAAAAGATGTAATACCTCAAAAATCTCCAGCTTCAAATTATTGCAGACACACACACACACACACACACACACACACACACACACACACACACACACAAACATCCCAATGAAATAGAGAGAGACAGAAAGAGCATGACATAAACCAATATCCCTCTCTGTGACACCATGATTGGATATTTACTATCGTACTGCTCAATGCTTACACACAAGAAATGTATTAAAGGTTTTTTTTCTTCTTTTTTATTTTTCACTGCTTATCCCTGCCTTCATAACAGCAGATTGACATTCAAAGGGCATGGGTGAAATTAACTTGTCTGTATGTGTGTGTGTGTGAGTGTGTTTGGGGGGGTTACATTCCAGTCCCAAGCCTATTTTGATGATGTTGGAATGAGAGAGAGAAAATATCGTCTCAAAGGCTCCTATCAAATGCCTGTCATTTCTCCCTTTAACTGCCTAATCCCTGATGGTGTGTGGTTATGGTGCTGTCTCATTTCTCAAACAAACTGTTGGCTGCCTTGCTCTTTCTTTCTGTCTCTCTTCCTACTTCTGCCTGTGCATATTTCTGTCTATGCCTATACCCAACTCTCCCGCTGAGCTGTCTCTAAGGAGCCAGACCTCCCACAGCTCCCGTTCTTTTGTGATGATGTCCAATGTTACAGCTCAGTGGTATGTTGAAATATGGTCAGACAGTGAGAGAGATAAAGACATAAAGACATAAAGAGATAAAAACAAAAGATATCATTGTATAGGGTTAAATGTTTTCCTGTGGTTTTAAATTATTGCTTAACTTCTTTTGCCAGGAGGAGGGATTTCATTCCATTTGACATCTGTGAAAAATATTTTTTAAATCATTAATACTGATTAGATTATGAAAAAATATAGATTTTTAAATACCAAGATTAAAGTGGGGACTGCTGTTCCTGTTTAATGTGAAATTAAAAGTAAAACTCAGTCATCAAGTATATGATCAAGTAGTCATCAATCATCAGTCATTGTCCCATGGGTCGTTAGTGTTGTGAGTCATTACTGTTGTTTGCCAATCTCTAGGCACATTGTTCTTTAGTCAGTCAAGATAATGTCAACCACGCTGTTTTACAAAACCTAAGTCACTGTTTGTGTTGCCTAAAGGCGGAGCTTTATTTTGAAAAGACACGCTTCCAGACACATCCAAAACTGACGCTATAGAGGGCACCTAAAGTGTCATAGTTTGAAGCTTAGGGCCACTGACCAAGCGTTATGTAACAAGATGGTAGTGTTGGAAATGCAAGTTAATCCAGATCTTCCTGGAATTGCCGGACTTAACTCAGATCCAAAATCATTTATGGTTTAGACAGAATATGCATAACGTAGTGTGAGAAAAAAACAAGGGGCAGACACAGGAAGTGCTATAATAATGAGGAAAACGACACTGTGACACTATGCCAAATGAGCTTTAATTGCAGTCATAAAGGAGAATATATATGCTGTATGTTCAGTATAACATACATTGATTACTGATTCTGGATTTCCCTCAGAGATATGCTTGATAATAAGCAGGCTTATTTCCTGCTATATATGCACAGGCATCAAGCAATAGAATAGAAAAGTGATTTTTAGTGTTATGAGGAAGTTCAAAAACATGAGCCTTGTAGCAAATAATTGTTTTTTATCAAGTGCACCATAAGTGATAGAAAAGAGCGGAAGCTCGATTAAATACTGCCAGGAAAAGAATATCACTTATGACGTCAGTAAACATTGGCATATACAGTATGTCCTGAATGTAACACTTACACACAGCTGATATGATACTTAAAAAAATTGTTCTCATTATGTTGTTTCAACAATAATTCAGTTGGCATTTTCTTTCTGCAAAACGTATTTGCCAGAATATGAACTGAAGTTCTCAGAGACAGGGTTGGAATGCAGGACATGCGAAAAAAAAAAAAGCATGTGTCTTTGTGTTAAATCAACCCATCACTGTGTTTAATGTACAATGAAGCCCTGTTTTCAACTCTGCATAACGCTCACGTTATTGTTTATTGTTGTTGAACTGATGACCACAATATAATCAGAATGACTGCCTCTTGCTCAGTGCCAGTCGTCTCTGTGTCCCGCTGAGGTGACCAGGAGAGAGGCAGTGAATCCTCCACAATTCATTGCTGACACTGGGGAAGTATCAATATACTTACTTAAGTACTGTGCTGTGAGGTATTTGTACATTACTTCCGTACTTTCCTTTTATGCTACTTCACACTTCAAATACTTTACAGAGGGAAATATTGTTCTTTGTACTCCACCTCATTAATAATCACAGCTGCATACTGTGGATTGTGCACATAAAATACACAATTAGATTACAACATAAAAAGGATTATTAAATATTGAACCAGATCTATAAATGGGGACCTCTTAAAAAAAGCTTCTAGTTGAGTCCCATTCTTATGTTTTAGATAAGGGCTGTACGCAGTTCTACCAGAGACATGTCCTCTAAGTTCTCAAAAGGTTTCATTTAAATAAACATTTAATGGCTTGAAAGGTAAACATATCCAATATATCACAAATGAATATTAGAGAATAGTACAATAAATTAATAGACATTTGTGTTGCAGAACTTAATTCTGTCATCTTTCCTTTCCCATTAATTATCTAATGACCTCTCAGATTTATCTTGCGACACTTTGGAGGGGACCGGCCCCTTAGTTGGGAACCACTGGACTAAACTGTTTATAAAGCAGTTAAAATGAGTCCCACCTCAACAGTACAATACAGTAAAATGCATCTTACAGACTGATGCATCAGCATTTACAATCTGATCAAGTTATGTAAAATGATACTTCAGTCTCAGGGGCCATTTTTCTGCCTTTACTTTTGAAAGTTTTCATTTTGCTGATAATACATTTACATAATAAATACAGAACATGTATTTGTAATGAAGAGTTTTTAGTGTTGCACTGGTACTTAACTAACGGATCTTTGTAGTGCACCACTGGACAGACATGTGACAGGTGACCATAGTGTTTTCCAACAAGTGTTGAATATATGAACACAGTGCAGGCCAGAAGACACAATTATTATTAGTATTATAATTATTACTATTTTGGATGGAAGAGTAAACTAAGTTTTACTTTCGTAAAAAATATGTTTTTATATTTGTATCACTTTATTGTTGTTGTTGTTGCTATTATTATAACTGTAGTAGTAGTGGGTGTCACACATGGCCAGCCCAGATACTGTACAGAGGGCTTGTGTCCACGCCTTCTTCGTCCCATCAATACGGTGTCTTCATTCACTCCAGCCAAGCTGTCTGACAAGGTAAGACGTCACTAAGGCTTTCTATGAATTGGTCCTGGTACATTCACTGTCAGGAAATGTTTGAGTCGGAGTGAGAGTGTCTCTCCCAAATTCTCTTTTTAAATGCAGCTGAACGCGGCTTTTCCTCGCTAAACTCACAATGTGCTCCGTCGCCGCCTCCACGAGTCAACTGCGCTTTGCATCTTTCTGATCACTCGCGGCATATTTGCTTCCAGATATTTTAAAGATTATAATGGGACGCTTCTAAAGTGACGCACATGCTGCGGGAATGACCACCGCAGCCGCCGTTCCGTCGCGCTTGATCCGCACTTTTTTGACAGCATCCCACTCTCCACTGACACGGGTTGAAAATAAACGCGTTCATGCCAGTGGCAGTGAAAGCACTCAAATTATTTACCCAAGTTACTGTGGCTAAATTGGGAATTTAAGGTGTCAGCACCCACCGTACTGTATTGACATAGCTTCATAAGGAGTGTATGAAAGTATAACTCATCCGTGGTAAAGTAGAGTTTAGGCCATGTCTGGTATTCTGGTAACACCAGTTGTTATATTCATTATTTAGTGTAATAATTCACTCTAATAGCCTACATGTTATGATTACATGATAAGTACAGTATTGACGTAGCTTTGGAGTATATAAAAGTAGATCTTATCTGTAATAAAGTAAAAAAACATGTCAGTTATTGTATTAATTATTTAGTGTAATCTAATAGGCAACATTTTTGATAAACAAAAATTAAATAATAAAGTGTTTGTGTGTGCTGTCTTTTTTTCTCCCCAGGATTTTCCATGGCGAAAGTTTCTCCCTGTACACATGTCACCCTTCTTCTTCTGTTACCTTATTTCCTGACTGTATCACTTGCCACTCAAGATGACCTTGTAATCGACACCAGGCATGGGAAAGTTCAAGGGAAGTTGCTTTCAGTGCTAGGTGGCAATGTTGGAGCATTTTTAGGAATTCCTTATGGGAAACCACCTTTGGGGAAACTGCGATTCAGCGCTCCAGAGCCAGTAGAGAGTTGGGAAGGAGTGAGGGATGCCACCCAATTCCCAAATTCCTGCTACCAACTGCCAGATACAACCTTTCAAGGTACGATACACGTTTACACGGATGGGCACAATGCCTACATATACAGTATATTGTGTTGTGTACATGTACTGTTATTCAAGTGGGTTAGCCCTGCCAACAAGGTCTAGATAATGAAAAAACACCTGCCTGAAATGACAGCCAATACTTGATGACTCACCAGGACTATTCAGAGCCCCTGATGTCCCAAAAGAGGACATTTTATTTTTTTGCGCACACCAAATTTCATTTTGAATATACAAGTCATTATTATGTGCCAAAAAAACATACATCAAATACAAGTTGCAAGGTCTTCTCTGGGTTTCTTTTGTTTTTCTATTTTACTGTCGGCTGGATAGCATTCATTTCATAACAAAATATGTAGTGTGCGTGTACATTGGGATGTGGCATATGAGGTGTGATAGGATTCAGCACACTAACGCACATCACCTTCACCGCGTACCTGCTTTGGTTTTTTGTGTGTGTACACGTGTACTTTGGTGAGTGTAATTTGCAAATGTTTTCAATTGGTGCACTGCAGCAAACGTCTATTTTAAGCTTTGTATGTCTTAGCGAATGTTGCTCTTCCCAACGGCCAAATCGTTTACAAGTCTTTCCTGCATTACATTACCCGCTCGCTAACTTGCTAAATTGTGAGCCTCGGTGGCCTCTAGACTTCTACACAGCCACAGCACCGTCCATGTTGCTGCTGCCTAGCAGTGGTGTTCTCACAACTTGAACGGCAAGAATATTATGTACACCACCACCCATGCCGTAACCACGAGCTCATGAGTTTCGTTTGAAGGCAGCATGTGACAAGGCACCAAAGAAGGTCATCTAAGTACATGTGTGATTAGGAGATGACCTTAAAAGACCAATGTACCATCTTAAGGTAGGTGTTTCAGTGGGGAGCGGCAGTTATATAACAACATGCCACACCCGCACGCACACACTCAACTGTTTGGTGCCACTATAGCAGTTGAGCAAACAAAAATATGAATAGACAAGCACATAAGCACACACAGTTTGACACAGACTAAGTCCCCTACCCAAGAGACGGTTTGGAGCTGGGTAGTGCATACATATCTATTCGTAGACACAGCCACCTGTCAGGGGTTGTTTCATAGCCAGCTTCAACCAGTGCCAGGCATATGTACAGAAATACTGCCCAAATGTACTCTAAATATAGATATGACAACACAGATAGATATGGATGTTGGTCCGCTGTTATTGCTTTGGACAAAGCGGTACTCATTAAGTGGAAAACAAACAAGGGATTTATTTACTTATTCACCTATGTAATTGTTCGGAAACTATTCGTCGTAAACTGCCACATGAGTTAAGTGAAACATCAGCTAATATTTCATCTTAAAATACAGCTTGCAATGAAATGTCATAATGAAGTTGAAATTGAACTGACTGTATGACTGAAGTATGTTTATCTCTAAACATCTGAAAGAACAGAGATAGGAGTGTATGGCAATTGCTAGACTACGGTCCCAATCAGTCTCCAGTGACATTGATAAATATTGTCATTTTTTTAAAGGGTTCCAAGGTTCAGAGATGTGGAACCCAAACACTCCTTTAAGTGAAGACTGTCTGTACCTAAACGTCTGGTCCCCTCGTTTCAACAAAACCCAGCCTAAGCCCTCACCACTGGCTCCTGTCCTTGTCTGGATCTATGGAGGCGGGTTCAGTCAAGGAACATCCTCTCTGGACATTTATGATGGTCGCTTCTTGAGTAAATCTGAAGGTGTTGTTGTGGTATCAATGAATTACAGGTGAGAACTGAAGTAAACTGAAAAAAATATAATAATGAGTGGACATAGTTACTGTATGTAACTGCAAACTCCCTACTAATCATTAACGAGGTGAATATCTGTGAGTTAGGTCTCTCCTTTACACTTGACACACTTGGATTTTTGCCTACGTCGGAAGTTGCAAGAAGTCAATAAAACTGGTAGTTGGTGTTGGTGCAATAAGCAAAGCAAAGGAGTATGTACAGTATATAAAAAGTCCTTACCACTATGTGCAATGCCCTTCTCTTTACTCATTGGCTGTGGAATCGACAAGAGTAGGTGGATTTATCTTAAGTTAAATGCTGTCACCATCTTTCCTCATTCTCATGCTCATTTATTACAGAGTCGGAGCTTTTGGTTTCCTGTCTATTCCTGACGACAACAACGTCCAGAGCAATGCAGGCCTGCTGGACCAGCGCTTGGCGCTCCACTGGGTTGCCAAAAACATAGCTGCTTTTGGAGGGGATTCTACAAAGGTAAAATGTATTTGCGTTATACCCTAAAATCTGATAATAAGATTTGTTTATACTGTTTGAACAAACAATAAAACAAAGCCGTTGGCTTTTGTTTCCAGGTGACTCTGTTTGGGGAGAGCGCTGGGTCAGCATCTGTGGGCTTCCACCTGCTCTCTCCAGGCAGCCATAGTCTTTTTCAAAGGGCTGTGTTGCAGAGTGGCACTCCTAATGCACCCTGGGCCACAATCAGCCAGAGTGAGACCTGGCACAGGTAGGGTGTACTATTTTCAGTCACCCTCTTACATCTTTCCACTCCTTCCATCACTCATAAGATTTATTATGCCACGGTTTTGATTGATTTGTTTGAAGCCGCAACATGCAACCTTTTACGTTAAAGTAACATCAAATGAATAGGGTACATTCACAGCCATTTTTTTAAAATTTCACCACAAGCATGGACATATACACATGGTGCTTGGTCAAAAGATTCTCAATATATTGGTTCTCTTTCTCAAAATGTGTCAACAATTTGTCTCCGTCTCCCTCACATTCCTCCTCATTCCTTCTGTCACCGATTGCCTTGCTCCCTCTCTACGTCAATATCCAGGTCTATGAAGCTGGCGATGCTACTGGGTTGTCCCCAATCTCCTTCATCTGATATGAAAGCTTGTCTGCAGGAGGCTGATCCCCTGGAAATTTCATTGAAGCAATATAATGTTATCGTACAGCCTACACTCATAGCCGCTCCCTTTGTCCCTTTTGTTGATGGGGACTTCCTACAAGATAAAGTCGAAGTAGGTGTGTGTGTGTGTGTGTGTGTGTATGTGGAGACACTGTGTGTTAATTTGGCCATTACCCATGAAACAGGTTTTTGCATGTTTTATAAATAAGTTTCAGTATATTTTCACAATCCTACCTCAATTAGCTGGTGTAACAAATGTCAACACCGAAAGCCATGGTTTTTAGATTCAGCATTTGAATAACTATATGTCGAAGCTGTCACACTTTCAAATTTAACACATGGAAATACACAAAAAAAATCAGTTGACCTAATTACTGTATATTATGTAACATGGCTACAAGTACACATCTAACACACTTTGACCTAACCGACTGTACCCTGGTATCAGCAAAACATCAAAACCAAGCTCACTGGGCAATTACTGCAGTATTATTTGCCAAAAAAAACTTACAAATGTTACAAACACCAATCACCTTTTTGTTTTTCTCTGCAGGTGTTGCTTAGTACCGGTAACCTTCCAAAGAAAGAGGTGCTGTTTGGCTTAAACAAGGATGAAGGGACCTACTTCTTAGTTTATGGAATGCCTGGGTTTAACATCACCGGCCAGAGTCTTATCACCAGAAATGAGTTCCTGAGAGGAGTGGCCATTACAATGCAACATGCAAGTGATCTCACTAGGGATGGGGCCGTGTTCCAGTACACTGATTGGACAGATGAGAATAACAGGACGACAAATCGTGACTCACTGGGTAGTCTGGTTGGAGACCAACTGTTTGTTTCTCCTGTGCTAGAGTTTGCTCAGAGGTAATTCTGAGTTGCAATAGTATCCTCAGCCATGTCTTGCACAATATTCTCAGTGAATCTGCCCTGCACACTGCAGATATTTTTATTTTTTTTATCTATAATTGTTTTAATTATTTTCCACATCACTCTTTTAGTGTGGCTTTAGGAGTAGGCAAGAGTGCATTTCACTAAACACATCACTTCTACATTTCTGAATTCTTGAAACCTTGTTTTAGGCTCAGATTAGACAGGACAATACAATCCAGAAAAATCCAGTTTCAGTAATCCAAGAAATTAAAGATGTATTAGATACCAAAAAGCAACAAGATACCAAAAAGCAAACGTTGAGCCGTGTCCTCTTATTCAAATGAATGAGGGGGCTGAATTTTTTAAAATGCAGGTCTCGTCTGTTTGAACACTGCCCTAGCCAATTGAATGGTTTGGGTCCTAAAAAAATAGGATGAACAGTAAATCCTCATTTCTTGTTGTATTTTCTCTAATTAACCAGACCTAGTGCAGTGCAAAAATAGTTCAATGTTTGTTTATTTATTTTTTACCAGGTACTCTCAACATGGTGGTCAGACCTTCCTTTATTTATTTGACCACCGGTCGTCTGTCAATCCTTGGCCAGAATGGATGGGCGTTATGCACGGCTATGAGATAGAATTTGTCTTCGGAATGCCTCTGAATGCATCCCTGGGATACACGAAGAATGAAGTGAACATGACAAAGAAGTTTATGAAACACTGGGCCACCTTTGCCCGGACGGGGTATGTATAATCAGAAAGACAATCAGTCACTCAAGCTGTTTGAAGACCCTCAGGGCACTGTTGAATTGTCTTGATTGGCTGTTCTTTTTGTCAGGAATCCAAGCATTGATGGAGATAACTGGCCTGTGTTCACCCCTGAATGGCAAGAGTATGTCACTCTGAACTACAACCATCCAGAACGAAGGAGGATGATGAGAGCTGAAGAGTGTCACCTCTGGAACAAATTTATCCCAAAAGTACAGAAAGTCTCAGGTTAGACAGCTATCCATCTATCCATCTATCCATCCATCCATCCATCTATGTATCTAGCTTCTCTATCTAATTCATTCATCCATCCCTCCCTCCCAAAAACTCAACACAACAATACACACAAAGCTCTATAAAGTCATCTGTAGTAGGAGGCATTGTGTCAGGCTCTGCCAGGCAGGCGTTTTGCCTTGTTTATTCTCCCGTCCACTTCACCACGAGTCTGGAGTTCTCAGTGGGAGGACAGTAGAGTCAGCCATCACTTCACTGAACTCTGATTACACACAGTGTGAATAATGTTCATACACCTCTCTATTGTGGTCATTATTCGCGCACACACACACACACACACACACAGATCATGCAAAATGACCATTTTTAGATTAATTTTATTGAAAGTGACGGGAACATAAATTTGAATGTGCATATACGTACACATCTTCTTACATGTACAAATCATATTGTGAAAGATGACAAGATGAAAGTCCTTCTCTCTGCCTCTTTCTCCACAGATGATCTGCTGTCTTGTGAAAAAGCAAATGGGATTATACTCCACTGTAACTACACCTTCCTCTTCATTCTATTGGTTATAACTTTAACCTATTGATATTTTTTCAGTAAGAGATGCAGCTATTCTCATCTCATGGTATAGCAACATGCTCACCAGCTCTGTAGACATTGTATTGCCATGAGGTTTCAGGTAGTAGCATTTATTTTGCAGGTACTGGTGCTGCATAATGCCCAACAACCAAATAGTGCTTTAAGTTATGACATGAGAATGTATTTCTCATAATAGTCAGCTACCAGTTTGTTTCTACTTGTTTGTCTTTCTTTCAAAAGTGTTCATATAAATTGTGCTGATTGCAGAGTAGGCTGATTAAAACATGTTGAGTGCACTTGTATTGGAAAAATATGTTTGTGAAAATCATGCAGTTGACTTCAATCAATCACATTTTGAAGTTTCATTTGCATTGATGCATTTTTAGCAGGAAATGCATTATTTGCTTGTAAAATCTGTCCTAATTGGCTAATACCACTTCAATGTATTGTAGACTACTTCATCACAATGACAATCAGGATGTTCTAGTTATTAATAATGTGTTTATTGTATTTATCAGTAAAGTCCATGAAGTGATTATTAAAGATTTGGATATAATGATGATCAACATTGAGGTCTATTTTGACTGATTTTACATCACCCGTGCTTCTTCCAGCAAACATGCACACAAAACACTCACCCACTCTCACCTCCTCTACGTTGTACAAAGGCTTATTCGTTTTTTGGTATCGAATTTGGTATTTCTGAGGGAGTGTGAGAGAGACTAAGAGAGAGCGAGAGAGAGAATAACTACAAAGACAAGAAAGACAAAAGGGATCTTAGTAGAATACTACAAGGAAGTCTTTGAAGGTACAGTACCAGAGTTCTTTTAGCACCCACTGAGTATCTTCAATATGTTAAGTCAAGGTGATGCTCCTCACTTGTTATGACCACATGGATCAAGAAAAGCTAAAAATTAACACAAAAATGTAACTTTTTTTTTTTTTTTTTCTTAATGATGCTGTGGGATAGCAAGGTTTGTGGCATTACCCTTGAGAAAACTTTAGTTTCATCGCCAAATGATACACAAATACCTTTTTTTGGAGGACGAACAGCTGCTTCACAGGAGGTGCGTTGTTTTGACTCGTGTCAGTGCCACAGTTTAGTTCTCAGACATGACACTTTGACAGATATTAGGGGTGAGCTGTGATTAATGCGCATGACAGTGACAGCTTCATTAGTTAAGAGAGCATCACCTCCCACTGCGTGTCATGTGAAATTACCATTACCAACCCCCAGGGATAGCTGAGGCTGAGCAGACATTGTCGAAAGAATGACAATGCTTGATGTGAGAGTCCAACGTTTGTTTCACGAGGCAGAACTATGTGGGGAGTTCTCAAGAAAATTGCAATCCTTAAAAAAGGTAACCCTTTATATTTGAAGTTTTACATGAAATTAAAATGTTCACACCAACGATTCACTGAAGCTTTCTTTGGTTCTTGATTGTATGTATTTTATTCTTCTTCAAATATCCATATAATGTATTTAAACCATAAACAAAGTGTATCAAAGCCTGAAAACTAATATCACATACCTATTCATGTACACTGGGCATGTGGGTGCCGGTGTAAACAGGAGGTCGATTGGTCACGCTTGATACTTAAGATCTTTCTCCCAACCACGCACTAAAACATACAAATTTCAAATATACAAATATATATATATATATATTTCAAACGTTACAAGGTTGCAGGTCTTGCTCTATCTCTCCTTAAAACAGCTAAACCTCAAATTGACTTTAAACATTTTAACAACACACTTACAAATTAAGGTTTTACGAGAGTATGGGTTCAGATATTTAATCCACACAGGTCTCTCACTAGTTTCCTCTCGGTTTCTTTGTTGTCTGTTTTCACACTCTGCCGGCTCGTACTGGAGAGCATTAATGCTTTTGTTCATTTACAGTTTCTTTGTGAACTTCATAATAGTTGTGCAGAACAAAATAAGCATTGATAAGAGAAGGAAATTACTTGTGACTTTAAACAATTACAGTAGAGGCACTGATCAAATGTCCATACTATATAAGACCTGTCCAATCCTGTGTACGTTTTCAATTTTGGAAACCTGATTGTGACCATAGATGTGAAAAGGCCCTCTAGGAATTTCCTAAAATACGCACCAATATTGATAGTCACTGAGCAACTGCTTTGCATGCCCATTAAATGGATCCATGCCTGGTCAAATCTGTATCATCTTTTTAAAAAAAACTCTTTAATACTTCATGACCTATTCACTATGCTATTATGGTCCCTTTTGGGGTGTCCTTCTTGTTTTTGTTCCTTTAGCTCCGGGTTCGTGGTTATTTCATCCTATATAATGTCTACTTTATGATGTTTCTCATATGTTAAACTATGCTGGTTCTGTACCTTAATACATCAACTCATAACTTTGTTGTGGTAATGGCAACAATGGCAGTTTAATGCTTTCTTCAAATGATATATATTTACATATATATATAATATTTACCTTTTTAATGACAGATGTACAAAAAAAAAGTGCAAATCTCATAGACATGTCAAATCTAAGATATACATATATATTAGCAGCTTGGATCACGTTGTCAAATACATACAGTAACTAGGCTACCACATGAACTCTTTCCCCTCAAACCCTTACAGCTCCAACAGGGTACATTGAAACATCCCTTTTTCACAAGCTATTCAGTTTAATACCATGTATATACAAAAACCTGAAACACCTTCAAAGGTTTTGTCAGCCCAGGAAAAGAGCAGCGCTCAACTGGTTAATCCCATAAGAAGAAGCATTTCAGACGTCCCCCGAGTTAACCAGAAAACGCTATTTGACACCATGGCAAAGCGAGATGAGTCTGACCTTGGCTGTCAGTTGAGACAGAGACACACATCATTCAAATGAGACAGGCAATCAGGGGAAGGACAAATCCAGACAGCTAAAGAGAAACAGAGAAAGAAACAGGGAAGTACAGGAAGAGATGGGCACAGGCTGTGGTGATGTGGGAGAGCAAAAAGAGAGGTGGAAGAGATAGAGGATACAGCAGCAGGGGGGAAAATAAACACAAAAGTGTGGTAAGAGAGAGGAGAAGAAATATGATTAAAAAAAAACTTCAAAGGGACTTTCAAAATGAGAGGGGATTTGGTGACACTGAATGATACAAGGAGAGGCAGCCGTCTTTCATCAGGCTACTGATGAGTGGAAGCAGAGAAATAGAATAGCATCATTCCATGGAAATTGAAAAAGGTCTGAGAAATATTATTTTTCTTTTTTAATAATTTGTATGCAGACGGTATGGTTTCCTACGGGGCATGGGGATAACTGAAGAAATGGAGAAGCAAATACAAACACAAACTTCTCATTTGCCTGATGTCAACTTTTCCCTTCGCCCTACAATTACACCAATGATGTCTTCCCACAATCATTCACCCTCAAGGATAGACATTCATAATTTCAAAATACAGAATCATATTTTAGTGCTGTGCTGGGTTGCATCCTCACGGAGTATAATAGTGCTATCAAGCTTGTTTTGTAAAGTATACTTCTGCGGTGTGCAGGATGGAGCAGCTAGGCCGAGGTGGACGTGTCCCTATAGCTCACATCGACAATTCACCTTCCAGCAAGTCTTTTTTATTTATTTCCTCTTTCTGTCTAACTTCCTCCCTTAAGGGTCATTTTAATCATTCATTTCCATTTCATTTTTACTCTTTGTTCATGTTTTTTTTCATTTTTACCCAGAGAGTGTAATAGAGTTGGAAAAAGCTTTAAGCGGGTCTTACAATTTAAATGTTTTAAAATTGTCAGAGCACAGACTGGATTGTGCTATATTTACAGCTGCCTTAGCGATATGAATATATGTATGCATACTTTGTGTGGGGGTGGGGGTACCAATATACTACTAATAGTATACAGTTGTCCTCTATACACACATGCAGTATTTAAATCAGTTGAACATATTTTAAAGCTTGGGTAAGTAACATTGGAGAATCCAGCAAGAGTAAGCTAGGTTTTAAAAATAATAAAACTGAAAATACCAGCCCTGTGACGCCATCTCTTTTCCAATGAAAGTAGCTGCAGCACTAGCTCCAAAAAAAAAAAAAAATATCCAAGTCGGCAATAGTATCAGGCCTCCCTCAAAAGCCATTACCCCAAAATGATCATGATTATAAACAAATCATAATGAATAAACAATAAACATGACTATTGTTAGTACTCAGCTGTCAAGCTAGCAGCCTGTGGAAGATCCCAGTGACATGCCCATGAGTGCACGGGCATAGCACGTGCAGGCAGTCAAGCAGCTAAACAGGCAGATGGCCTGAATGAAATGGACACTTATTACAGTCCTATGACAGCCAAAGATATCAGAGTATTTGATTTTAGAATTTGATTTACTGATAGCTGTCGAGAGAATTTCAACAAATATAAAAAAAAATGTTTCTGAAATACTTCAGCTACCCTAGCTTTAACTGATGTGGTCGATCTGGTTAAGTTCTGTCTTTATGGTAACCAAGCAGAGCCACAAGATTCATGTTTTTAACATTGCAATAACATATTTTTTAGCCACCTAGACACGAATTACGATGTTCAGCCATTATCGCCTTTATATTTCGGCTTTTGGATTAAAAGAAGACTCGGATCATAATTATTCACCATGACACTAGCTTTATTGTTTTTATTCAGCAGCTATTAGGATAACAATTGAACCAGACCATATTTGGTGGGATTCATATGCAGCTCAGTGTGACAGCTCTTATGGATGGTCTGAACAAGCAGGGTGCATGCTAAGCTCGTGTCTGTGTTCATTTAAAAATAAATAAATAGTTAAGAGTAATGCCGGACATGGGTGTGGCTTATACCATCAGTGATTATTATTACATTGTCAAATCTTCATTTTCTGTCCTAAATTGTTTTCTATTGCCATTTACTTTCATCAAACACATCTATAAGTTCAGTTGCCAATAGAATATAATGTACCTGAACTGATCAATTAGTTAAACATAAAACATTTTGTAAGCCTGTTATAGGACTGAAGGGATATCAAAAGAGGTAGTGCATGCTGTGCGAGAGGGTCCACATGAAGGTAAAGTTCTCAGAAGGGTATAGTTTCTATAAAACATAAAGCTTTAGAATAATCTGAAAAGCTTTTGTACACTTTTAAGATGGCCCCATACTTGAGCTCATCATATTATACTGTCAAGTAGTGTAAAGTGGTGATCGCTGAGGATGGAGGCAAATATTACTAATAATACAATATGTGAATATCCAATACATTCATATTCATCACTCCTACTGGACAGTTGCTGGCTTGGCTATTCCTAATTTGCAGCCAGAAGGTTTTTCACACATTCTTGTTGCCTGTGTTGATGTGCTGTGGGTGCAATGCACTGCAGGACAGGCAGGGAGGTCTTAGGGCAAACCAGATGACGTACGATGATGTGATACTAGCATGATAAGAGGTTCCACCATATTGGAGCCAAGTAGTCTGCTTTGCAAATTGCTTGGCAAGTTCAAGTTCATCACATGTGAGCTGTGTGCTTTTTTAATGACCACTTAAGAGTTTTAAATAGGGGAGGGCCAGGGGTATAATAAATATTTGTCTT